GATCCGATACAGACTGTATGCGATCCTGTAGAGATCCGACACAGACTGTATGGGATCCTACACGGATCCGATACAGACTGTGTAGGACCCTATACAGATCCGATACAGACTGTAAAGAGGATCTTGTACATATCCGATACAGACTGTATAGGGTCCTATACAGATCCGATACAGACTGCATAGGATCCTATACAGATCGGATACGCCACATGAAGAAAGAAGGGTACATGGAAGGATCGAATGAATAAACCAATCATATGAATCACCACTCGGATGGTTCAGCACGTTGGATGTGTGTGTACGACTGCACGGCGACCCACCAGTACTGAGGCCAAAGCGGCTGCGGCGCGAGGAGGGAAAAAGGAAGAATTGAGAGAGAACCTACATCTAAATCTGCGCAACTGGTGTCATGTGTGTGTGCACATGCGCACACGGGTACACGGCCGCCTAGACGGCCCGTGAGCGGCCCAAGACGGCCCAAGATGCAAGACTGACTAAGATGGCCTCGAGACGGCCCAAACGGCTTCCAAGACGGCCCACATGGCTCGAAGGGGCTCAGGAATCCATTGGAATCCATAGGAACCGTGCTGAACCCTGAACCTTCGGGGGGCTCAGGAATACACAGGAATCCCCAAGGGCCCTGGGGGGGCCCAGGATCCCTCTGCAATCCAGGAGAACCACGCGGAACCCTGGGGGGCTCAGGAATCCTTTGGACCCAAAGGCACCGTGCGGAACCCTCGGGTGGCCCAAGAATCATCAGGGATCCCAATGAACCCTGGTGGTTCAAGAACCCTTTGTAATCCAAAGGAACCGTGCTGAACCCTGAACCTTCGGGTGGCTCAAGAATCATCGGGAATCCGCAGGGACCCTGGGGGGGAGGGGGCAGGATTCCTCTGGAATCCTAAGGGACCGCACGGAACCCTGGGCTGGGGTGGCTCAGGAACCCTTTGGAATCCAAAGGAACCGCGCGGAACCCTCGGGTGGCCCAAGAATCATCAAGAACCCAAACGAACCCTGGTGGTTCAAGAACCCCCTGGAATCCCACGGAACCGCGCGGAATCCTGGGTGGCTCAGGAACCCTCTGGAATCCAAAGGAACCGCGCGGAACCCTCGGGGGGGGGGCTCAGGAATCCTCTGGAATCCCCATGGACACTGGGGGGCTCAGGAACCCTTTGGAACCAGCAGGAATCCTAAAGAACCCAGGGGCGGCTCAGGAACCCTCTGGAGTCCAAAGGAACCGTGCGGAACTCTGGGTGGGGCTCAGGAATCCTTAAGAATCCTGAGGAACCTTGGGGGGGCTCACCCCCTGGAATCCGACGGCCACAGCGGACGCACCCATGTCGGCACACCCCTCACTAGGATATTGCCCCCCCTATCGGTGAGCTTCGCCGAAGGACAGCGGCTGCTGCCATGTCGGCACACCCCTCACGTGGATCGCGGCCTGCCATCGGGCACCTCCGCCGAGGGCCACAGCGGCTGCGCTCATTTCAGCACACCCTTCACGCGGACCTTGGCCCCCCATCGGGGAGCTCCGCCGAAGGCCCCAGCGGCCGCGGCAATTTCGGCACACCCCTCACGTGGATCGTGGCCCGCCATCGGGGAGCTCCGCCGAAGGCCCCAGCGGCTGCGCCCATTTCGGCAGACCCCTCACAAGGATCGTGGCCCCCCATCGGGGAGCTCCGCCGAAGGCCCCACAGCTGCAACACTCACGCGGATCGTGCCCCCCATCAGGGAGCGCCGCCGAAGACCCCAGCGGCTGCGCCCATGTCGGCACACCCCTCACAAGGATCGTGGCCTGCCGCCGGGGAGCCCCGCCGAAGGCCACAGCGGCTGCGCCCATTTCGGCACACCCTTCACGAGGATCGTGGCCCCCAATCGGGTACCTCCGCCGAAAACTCAAGCGGCTGCGCCCATTTCGACACACCCCTCACGTGGATCGTGGCCCGCCATCGGGGAGCTCCGCCGAAGGCCCCAGCGGCTGCGCCCATTTCGGCACACTCCTCACGTGGATCGTGGCCCCCCCTCGGAGAGCTCCGCCGAAGGCCCCAGCGGCTACGCCCATTTCGGCACACCCATCACGTGGATCGTGGCCCCCAATCGGGGAGCTCCGCCAAAGGCCCCAGCGGCTGCGTCAATTCCGGCACACCCCTCACGATGATCGCGGCCCCCCTCGGGGAGCTCAGCCGAAGGCCCCAGCGGCTGCGCCAATTTCGCAATTCCAATGGGGGCTTATAGAATGCCGATGGAGGCCTATAGAATTCAGAAAGAGGCCTATAGAATTCCTATGGAGGCGTATAGAATTCCGATGGAGGCCTATATTGAAGTCGTATGGAGGGCTATGGAATTCCGATAGAGGCCTATAGAATTCCTATGGAGGCGTATAGAATTCCGATGGGGGGCCTGTAGAACTCGTAAGGAGGCCTATAGAATTCCGATGGGTGCCTATAGAGTTCCGATGGAGGCCTATAGAATTCCGATGGAGGCCTATATCGTCTGGAGGGCCTATATAATCCCGATGGAGGCCCAGATCTAATTCCCATGGCGGCATATAAAATTCCGATGGGGGGCTATAGATTTCCTATGGACGCCTACAGAATGTGTATGGGTGCCTATACTATAGAATTCCTATGAAGTCCTATAGAACTCCTATGGAGGCCTATGGAATTTGCATGGAGGCCAACAGAATTCCTATAGGGGACCTAAATAGAATTCCTATGGATGCCAAAAGAATTCCTGGGGAGGCCTATAGAATTCCGATGGAGACCTACAGAATTCCTATGGAGGCCTCTAGAATTCCTATAGGGTGGGGGGGGCTATAGAATTCCTACGGAGGCCTTTAGAATTCCTATGGAGGCCTATAGAATTTCTATGGAGGCCGATAAAATTCCGATGGGAGCTTATATAGAATTCCTATGGAGACCTATAGGATTCCTATGGAGGCCCATCGAATTCCGATGGAGGCCTATAGAATTCCCATGGGGGCCTGTAGGATTCCTATGGAGGCCTATAGAACTCCGATGGGGGCCTATAGACTTCCGAGGGAGGTCGATGGAAGCCTATAGAATTCCTCGGAAATCCTATTAGGGAATCCTTAACGCCCCCAGGAAACCCCCAGAAAGAGTTGCTCGGTTGCTCGGTTGCTGGGGGGGGGGGGGGGGGGGGGCGCGGCCGGGGCTCCCACGCACGCCTTTTCCAACAACAACAACAACAACAACAACAACAACAACAACAACAACAACAACGCAACAACGCAACAAGCAGAATCCTCACCGCGGATCCCCACTTCAGCCACGCACCCAAGGACAATGAATGACCGTTCGGCCCTCTCACTCCGACCATCCTGGCCATGCCAGCATCGCCCCCCTCATCACTCGTTGATTTCAACGTATCAGCTACGCAATAATCTTTTGCAAGAAACAATACACTAAATCAACACGCACGCACGCATGTCGGAATCACACCGACGCACGTTAATGCCGCAAGCATTCCGATGGAAGAACGTCAAAGACCTTAAGTTGCTCATGGAAAAGATTGCCGGTGTTCTCCCCGCGAGCATCTGCTGAAGTCTGCAACTACGTAAGCAACTTCAGCAATCTCGCCCAGAATCCGCTTTCTCACCTCACCGCGCAGTGCATCCGCGTTGATCCAGCATGCGCCCAGCGCACGACTCCGCATGAAAGCACGATGCGGGCCACTCGCGCGCGCCGCGACGCGCGCGCGCGTCGAAATCAATCCAACACAAGTGGTTCTCGAAGAGAATCAAGATAGAGATTTTCAAACATGTATGAAAAAACGAATGCGTTTCCGAACACCTTCAAGCTCATCAGCGCCATCGCATCACCGGATCGATCGTCATCGTCAATCGCCGCCAGTGCCACAATCGTCAGTCAATCACCTTCATCACCAGCAAGTGGCCATCATCATCGTCATCGTCGTCACCAGCCTTGGTGCCGTCATTGGCCTTGCAGTTGTCATGGTCATCATCGCCACCGTCATCGCTACTATCATCATCGTTGCCGCCGTTGCCGACGCCATCATGATGATTATCGCGCCCGCCCGAGTCAACGACCCGCACTGAACTGCACGCGCGCCAGCGCGGCTTTTAAGCCGCGATGGAAAATTCCCATCGGTTAGCGCCATCACGGCCGCATCGGTTGTGCTAGACCAGCTGGCCGCTCTGCGCGCGAGCTTGCGAGCGGCAGCGCGACCGCAAAGATGCGCCAGCCAGTGCCAAGCAGTCACGGCAACCAAGGCCGCACGGGTCTTGTAAAACAGTTTGCGGTGGGAGGAATGGATGTTTACTGGAACAGTGGAGTTGACGACTTCAAGTCAGGCAAACAATAAGAGCTTACTCCACATAGCTTGCAGCTTGCACCACATAGCTTACACATCCACATTGCAATCACTTATTGTTTGGGCCCCACGCTGGCCAACATCCAAATATTGCACAACAGCTGCAACCAACTTCTCTACGTACTGCTCCCTTGCACCCTTGCGCGCTGCGTGGATGGACAAAGAAGCCTAGCCCTTCGACAATTCAAGAACACCGTCCCCGTGCAACTCAGTCCACAAGCCCATCCGGACCTCTCGAGAACTCTGAGCCGAAGAATCAACATGCTATTCAACTTCACTCCAGAAACGCTTATGTCCCCACCGCGAATGACTTCATGCCAAGCTGGACGCCCACAATTAATAATACTCTGACGCGTCCTCGGAAAGAACTCTGACAGACAGGGTCCAAGACATGCCCTGCAAGAGGTGCCGGTGGACAGAGCACGGGATCCACCGAGGGTGATGCTGCCAGCGCGGGACAAATATAGCGATCCCCTGGTGCAAATCGGACGTCTGCCTGGCCTCGCCTGCCGTGGCGAACTGCACGCCAAAGAGCTGCACCCAGACCGTGGGCAGAAAGGGCCCTGCTGGTGCTGAGCTGGCTTGCCGTGGCCGTGTGGCCGGCAGAAGGCTTCGTGGCCGCCGTTTCGCCGAGTCCCCCGGGGTAC